GGTTAAGGTAAGGTAAGTTACGTAACGTACGTAATATACTTACTATAGTTTCTTCGGTCGTACGTTACACTATATATATATATATATATATATATATATATATGATATAATATAGTCATAGGATCAGAGTGTTGCTACCAATTTCCTGGGTGATGTAATTTCACATGAGGTACTGCCTTCATTTCATTAAAGATAGAAGCATCAAAGGCTTGTGATGTGCAAAAATATTGAATTACCATCTATAGATATATTTATTGGATAGCTTCACTTCAAAAGTAACAGTCAAACCTTTGTACAATTGGAAATAATTTCGTTCAGCAGCTTCACTGTCCTGGAAACAAATACAAGTAGTTTGTCTGTACTATTGTCTTTCTGATGTAATAAGACAGCACCTACCCTAATGATTCTCAAACTGTGTCAGATTGAGATCCCCTAACCAAAGAACAATGGTACCAGATTTGAATTATTGCACAGGAAAAACAACACAGTACAAGTCTCGCTTATCAGAGTTGCTATGGGATGTCACTGGACAAGATAGAAAAATATAAATAACTTTTATATAACATTTTTTTCAAATTGACAAACCTTTCTTTAAAAAACTGATGTGCAGCTGGTGGCTCCCTAACCCTATAGAAGAGAATCACTGACTTACCCTTACGGAGAGGCATAAAATGACATCACCTTGTTGGATGATTGTGGTAGCTCTTTAAACCCTCTACAAACTTTCTCTTGCTCCTTACCCTAGTGACACTTAAAAACGTTTTTAGTGATTTGTGCAATGGTGTCCAAAGTTTTGAAATATGCAGGAATTTGTTGTAATAATTTAACAAACCCAAGTAGGCTACAAGTTCCATCACTATATTTGTACTGCATCTTTTAGCATCCAGTTCATTATTTTTTGTTTTTGCTAGGAATGTGCATTTTTTTTGTTTTAAATGCAATTGCGATTCCTCTAACTTTTTGAGTAATTCTGCCAGCTTTGTAGATGTAATTGTCCTGCTTCTGTCAGTCCTATAATCAGAATATCAACAATATACATTTTATCGTGCAGAATTTCTTATAACAAACTTTCCATAGTCCAAAATACAAGCAACTTTACTTAAATAATTCTTTATGGGTACTGATAATTACATTTTTTTTTTTTATATTCCTAAAGCACCATTTTTTAGTAATCATGGATCATGTATAGTTTCTTAAACCCCTACTCCTTTTTTTTTTCTCTGATAAGGTTGCTACTAAATCTTTGGAATCGCCTACCATTCCCAGTGTGACACACTGATTCCATAACTTGAAAGTTTAGGCATTTCTACAAATTAGTATTAGTTGGCATTCATAACGAACACACTACAGCCTGTATCTGACTCAAATTCTAAATTTTTACAACTAATATCAAAGTCAACAATGATGGTTGCTGCTTTAGAATTGTTTAATTCCTTCATTTCTGTATATTGTAAATGTTTCCTCCCCTACCTTTACCTTAATATTTTCTTCAAGAGATAAGCCTCTTGAGCTCTTCTTATATTACAGGTGGCTTGTCCCTTACCCAAATTGGTGGTATCCATTCTACCATTATGTTTATTTTGTTTCACTCTTTTAATGTGTTGTTTTGTTCCACAACTGTGACATTTTTCATTTATGTAACTACTAGTGGAGAATGCTTTCCCTCACATCTGTAAAAATTCTCATTGCTAGGTTGGTGCTGTTTTTCACCCTTACCGAATACCTTGTTCACAAGATCCTTGGACTGAAATTTCCCATACATTATATTTGCAAATCCTGTATACATTATATATATTTAGGGCACTTTCAGATTTTAAATTCTATCACCATTCATGCCACACACTAATTTATCTCTGTATTTGTACCAAAGTTAGCTATGTGATAATTTCTGCTACATATACTGCTACTGGTTCTCCAGCTTTTCTGATCCCAGTAAAATTCTTATCATGCTGTAAGTTAGAGCACCAACACTACTTAGTAAGACTGTTTTTAACTAGTGTCTACAATATCTTTTGATCCAATTTATGAGTTGTTATCAGGCTTAATGAACAACATAAACATACAATTGTAAACCGTCTTTTCAACAATATATCAGCACGTCTTGAAACATGACAGTGTTCATTTAAACTTTCACATTTATAACATATGATAAAGTGCCTGAACACAAAATTTAATCTAATTACAGTATCATAATTCTTTTTGGCAAGTTATTCCTTTATGGTGTTTTTATGTAGTATGATTCAACTTATGGATACAGTGTCTTAGCTGATTGTTGTTTTGACACATTTTATTTTTCATCCACTAATTAATATACACTAACAACACACACATAAATTACCTTCCAAATTAATAGAAAACAACATAACTGATTGGTAGATTATAGGCTATTAACATTACATTCAGGTACTGAAGCTTGTACATTACAGCATTCAACTGACATAAAAGTCCAATACTGTTACTAAGTAAGAAAAACTTTTTTTTGGAAAGTAATAAACTAAAATTTCAAACTAAAAGCATTAACTTTTGAAAAGTACCCTAAAGCACTTTCATTAAATTAATAGAACATGACCCTAGAAAAAAGAACATAATCTGATGTTATCATTACAAGTAAAAATGGGTAACTGACTGACAAAGTATTGCCCACAACCTTATATTTTAAATATTTCCATTCTGCTTATCTCACGTTGTTGCAGGGGCAAAATGACTATAAGGTTTTAAAAATTATATCTCGTAAAAAATTGTAATTTAAAATTTTCTTTTGATCTAGGTTTTAAAAAATCAAAATGCTAATCCTAATTTTGAATTTTGTTCCATTGTTTAGGATGGTAAAAATGTTTAAACTCTGTTGCTTAGTTTTAGCTCAAATAATTTAAAAACAGTCAATTTTTTTAAATGTGTTGTGATAAAAATTGTAAAATTCAACTTTTTGAAGCTAATCAATTTATAAATATATCTTTGGATATATTTCTTGCAATCTATTTCTTGTACATTTCCCTTCCTCATTTGGCTTGTATATTTTAGATTACTATTGGTTTTGTATTCAATCATTGTAGTCTTGTGTTTTTTGTAATTCTCTAAACTATTATTTCAGGGAAGATTTAAAATACAAAATCTTCAGTTTTTATAAAACTGCACAACACTAAAATGATGAAACTTTTCTCTTCTTCATTTGTAAAATTGATCTAGTATGAATTAAATATTCTCTAATGTTCACATCATTTTTGTGAAGCTGTGTTTTGCCTTTGTTTCTGTAATCTTTTTTTTTTCTAATAGTTAGCAAATATTTGACTACTTAGAGGAAAGTTTAATAAAAAACAAATCCTATATATACGATATAAACCACAATAGATGTATAAACCAAAAAATAATTTTATAAATATGATACAATATACATGTATATTCTACTATATTTGATAGTGTTATTTTTGTGAGATCCAATTTTACACAATCACAAGATGGGTATGTAATTATCAATCTTTGCCCTGTGACGCTGGGCCACACATTCTGCAATCCAAACAATGTTTCGACATTCTTGTTCCTTCAACTTCACATATGCATAAAACACACCAAAATGGAACTGCTGGAGAAAAGCATTCACATTCAGCTTGACCTGAAAAATTAACATCAAAAGAACTAAGTCTTCTTAGATCTGATTGTTTATCTCAAAGATGTAGAGACCCATGTTTCTCCCTTTCTTGAAGATAGAGCTATACAACTTTTGTAAAGTTAGTACTACAGTAACATAGCATGGTTTTTAATGTATCCATACCTCTTCCCTGTTCATTAATCTAGGATGAAGTTTTACTTATAAATAACATAAGGTACACATTTTGAAAACAAGTATAATTTATTTTAAAATTAGTCAGTGTGTAGGTTTATTTATGTGTTATTAAAAATTCCTACAGATAGTATTATATACATTTTATTCGTATGCTACATTATTTTTTTCATTCTCTTTAAAAGAATGCTTGTCACTAACAATAAAATTTGTGTAAATGTTATTATAAGTTGTCAGTATGATAAATTTTCAAACAGATTTTACTGAAATTACTATTCTAGTGATTATAAACAACCATCAAATCCGCACAGTTTTTTAACTACTTCATGTTCATACACTACTAACCCAACATCATCTTTGAAAATAATATAAAAAACAAATAGTGAAAAACAGTAAGTTTTCTATTTAGAGACTGGGTGGAAGTAATGTGATGTAAAACACAGATATCAATATGCTTCAATTTTCTGATTCACAGTCTCCAGCATGTTTGAATTTTTATTAAAAAATTCAAACAAGCAAGATGGACAAAATATGGGATTTCTCTAGTCTGATTTATTTATGAACAACAGAAGTACTGACAGAAAAGCCAATCTATTCAAAATTAACTAGTAAAACATGAGAGTTCTCATAACACAATACAATATGATGCAGCATGTAAACACTATTGTATGGAGAATTGCACTGAATATCCAACACACTTAACTCTTTCCATAAGGACTCAGTCAAATCAACTGAGTTTGTAACCATTTTGTACTCATTACAGTTTCCATACTATAACTTAATACAGTAAGTGTATCTTCATAAAATTTGGCAGACTTTCAGTAAACATTACAAAAAATTAGATTTTATAATAAAATATTTTTAATAAAGATTTGTCTGTTTACTAGTTCAAGTGCAAAGTGATTTTCATGTTAAAAATACTTCTAATTATCTGATATTTTATTAGTTATTTTCTCTACCGTAACTCTAAATATGAGGTTGATCAATTTGACTCACTATGTAACTACCAAAAAAAATTAAATAAATCTAAATTACCCTTTTTTCTTTTTAAATGTCTTCAAATTTTAACATGAAACTACATTTGTTTGTCCTAAATAGCTTTAAACTGGTAACAGTATACATCTGTTTATACTTAAATTGTATTGTTTTATTGCCCTTTGAATCATGTTTAAAGTTAACATTTTCTTAAATTGAAAATGTATTTCCAATAATACTTACCTCACACTACAGCTATTACTTGACTGCCAGGGTTTCTTCCTTTACCCATCTAAGCGTTAGTCTGATTTGTTCTTGCTTGCTCCCTGCGATGCACTTGTAGGCCATTGTATTTATCGGACATATTTGCTGCATTGTCATACAATTTCCTACATGCATTTTGAATGTCAATTCCCATCCTATTTATTTTTCTATGACAACTTCAGCCATTAATT